CTTGAAGTGTAAACTTGTTTAATAAACCATATCTTTCATTTTCGATTTTTAATTCACGTAGTCCGGGAACTTTCCGGACAAACTGTGTATATATATATACATGTATAAGTTCTCACTCAACACTTTGAGAACGGCTCGTAAGGCCTTATATTCATTCATTGGTTTAATATTATGCGCTTATAGAGAAGATACTATAAATACTTTTGGTAAACTAATTATGAATATTGCAATCCATTCAAGTTTGTTAGTTAATGATAAATGGTACATTAACTTACTGGTTTTGTGACTTTTTAGGTTTCTGATTATGAAGGTAAAATTTTAACGGTAAATGCTGCTCATGGTGGAAGAACACATGATGCTAGAGTTTGGCGATCATCTCGTGTATCCAACCATTTAGAAGAGAAGTATGATGCAGGACTAAGAGATGCTTGGCTTTTAGGTAACAATGTATTTTAGTAGTTTAGTATTTTTTCATTTTCTGACTTAGTATTATTATTTTTTAGCGTATAATAAATTCCATTGTTTTGTTTACAGGTAATAGTGCGTATCCATTATTGCCATATTTAATGACGCCGATACGTGACGTATCTGAAGGAACGCCATTAGCAAGATATACACAGTGTCTTGTCAAAGCTCGCTCTTGTATAGAACGATGTATAGGCGTCTTGAAAGGAAAGTGGAGATGCCTTAGAAAAGAGAGAGCTTTACACTATACGCCAGAAGTTGCAGGTATGATTGATATTATGTATTATCAAGTATATCTTAAACTATGTCAAATTATACATGTAGATTTCGCTTTGTGTGAAAAGTTGAAAAACCCACGTGGAATTTTTCAAAATAAAAAATTTAATTGTTTATACATTGTAAACTATAAAATATAAAATTAATATTATGTGATCAGTGTACTTTGTATATAAAACACCCATCGTGTAAGAAATGACCTCGCTTTGCGTGGAAAGTCTTAAACTATGTCAAACATGTAGATTTTGCTTTGTCTGAAAAATTAAAAAATCCACGTAAAATTTTTCAAAATAAACAATTTAATACAAAAAACCTTGGCGCGGCTGCACCGCGTTAATTTAAGGGTACTTTTCAATTACATATACACGTGACATTGTAACACAGTGTTTATGAGTGAAAAAGAATAAATCAGTGTGTCTCATTAACACTAGTAACACGTTATCGCCTGTGTAAATAACTAGAAAGCACTAGTTTTCTGTGCAACCGCGCTAAGTTTTTTTGTATTAAATTTTTTATTCTGAAAAATTCCACGTGGATTTTTTAATTTTTCACACAAAGCAAAATCTACATGTTTGACATAGTTTAAGATTTTCCACGCAAGACGAGGTCATTTCTTACACAATGGGTGCTTTATATACAAAGTACACTGATCACATAATATTAATTTCATATTTTATAGTTGACAATGGGTGATACTCTATTGACCACAGTACGATTCGACACCGCTCGATTCGACACAGATTTATTCGACACCA